CTAGGGTTGCAACTTGGGTTGGATAATTCGAATTCAACCCGGATTCAACCAGTAAAAAGACAGACTTGGGCTAGAGTTTTTAAAACTTGGGTTGGACTTGGATTGAAAAATATTAACCCGAATTCAATTTAGACGGGTCTCAGGTTGACTTATCGGGTTGAACCCGAATATTAAATTCGGGCTCAACCTGAGTTAATAATCGAGTTTAACCCGAATATTAAAAACCCTATAAATGCATTTTTCAATTTTAGGGTTAATTTGTGATTCTATTCAGCCTCCCTCACTCGATCGATCTCAGTCCGCCTCCCTCACTCGATTTCAGTCCCACTCTTAGATCCTCTCTTAGCCAATTTTTCGTCTCCCTCAGTTCCACTCTCAGATCTCTTTCTCAGCTAGTCTTAGCTAGCCTCATCTCTCTCTCAAACATTATCAGCTCAATCGACTCTCCCTTCATCTCAATCGAAAAAAATCAAATCTACACTTGAAAAGAGATCTCATCTCAGAGCAGATCTATCGTCTACCGTCATCTCAGATCAGATCAGGTATGGTCGATATTTAGACTTTTTTTCACTCTCGATATTTTGTTCAGAGCTAATAGAACTAATCATGCTTGATAATAGAAAACACTCTCAGTCTCAGATGCAATTTTTTCAGATTTTATTCAGAGCTAATCAATGTTCATTTTTCCATTTTATCATTTTGCTAGTTCATTTTTTCATTTGATCATTTTGCTAATTGATCATTTTTCTGTTTCATTATGCTAGTTCAGATATTGAAAAGGTACATGTCACTAATGGGGGAGACGGAGACAAATAATGAATCTATGGCTAATCCTGCATCTGAGCCTGCTACTGATAACCCTGATGAGGGGAACTCTGTAAGTCCCACCAAATGCCGAAAAACTTATGTTGAAAAATCTGATGTTTGGCTTGATTTCACAAAAATTAAAAAAGAAAATGGGTCAAAACCTGATGAAGTGCAATGCAACCATTGCAAAAAGAAGTTTCATTATGCTAGTTCACAAGGAACTAGTACAATTCGGTGACACTTATTCAAGTGTTTGAAATGTGAAAAGAATAAAGATGCTACTCAAAAATTGATTAAATCTTCATCTGCTAGTGGTCCTTCTAGTAATATTAGTAGTTGAAAATTTGAACAAGAATCTGTCCGAAACGAAATTGCTCGAATGATAATTACTGATGAAATGCCTTTTAGTGTTGTGGAGAAAGAATATTTTAAAAGGGTTCTTAATGCATTGCAACCAAGATTTAATTTGGTGTCAAGAACTACGATCACCAAAGATTGCATCAATATTTATGAAACTGAAAGGAAAAAATTGAGATTTATCTTTGAATCCTCTGCATCACGTGTTTGTCTCACTACTGATTTATGGACTTCCATTCAAAACCTGGGGTATATTTGTCTCACCACGCATTACATTGACAAAGAATGGATTTTACAAAAGAGAATCATCAACTTTCGTGTGCTTCCAACCCCACATCGTGGTGAAATTATTGCACAATCTGTGGAGACTTGTTTATTGGGATGGGGGATTGATAAAGTGAATACATTGACTGTAGATAATGCAAGTTCTAATGATGTCGCAACCACATCTTTGAAAAAGAGGTTGGCCAAACGCAATGGGTTGTTGTTAGATGGTAGTCTGCTTCATGTTAGGTGTTTTGGGCATGTTTTGAATTTAATTGTGAAGGATGGAATTGATGAAGTTAATAGTGCTATTGTTCGTATTCGTGATGGTGTGAAATATGTTAGGAGTTCCCCTTCCCGCTATCAACTGTTTAGGAAATGTGTGGATATTGAGAAGATTTCATACAAGAAATCTTTGTGTTTGGATGTCCCAACACGGTGGAACTCTACTTTTTATATGCTCGACACCGCTCTTGAGTACCAAAAAGCTTTTGACCGGTTGGAAGAGCAAGATAGAAGTTTCACACTTGAACTTAAGAATGGGACTCCTACTGATGATGATTGATTGGCAGCAAAGAACTTGCATAAATTTTTGGAACAATTTTATCTTGTTACAAAGCGTGTGTCTGGGTCACAATATGTCACTGCTAACATTTATTTTCATGAAATGATGAGGATCCATGTATTATTACATAAATCTTTGAGTAGTGACAATGTATTCTTTCGTGAGATGTCAAGAAAAATGATGTTGAAATTTAAGAAATATTGTGATCGTGACAAAATTAATTCATTGTTGCTTATTGCGGTAGTGTTGAATCCTTATTACAAGTTGACGTTTCTGAGATATAAACTTTCCAAAGTTTATACTTGTGATGAGGTTGATGAGTTCATTGAAAAGGTGAAAGTTACGTTGGATAAATTGTATGAACCCTACTCATCGGTTGAATTAGCTTCATTAAAAATTGTTGATGCGTCACAAGAAGGCATTAATGTTGGAAAAGATATTTCAGAGGATCCAAATGTTGTACTTGATGATGATGTAGTGGATTGGGGTAAGTTCTTAGAAATTGAGCAAACCAAAGTCCTTAAATCGGAGTTAGAACGTTACTTGGACGATGTCGTTGAGTTTAGGAGTGGATCACGACAGACTTTCGATATTTTGAAATGGTGGAAAGAAAAAGCCTCTTCATATCGTGTTCTTTCTCCCATGGCACGTGATATTTTTGCAATTCCTATATCAACCGTGGCTTTGGAGTCCGCTTTTGGCACGGGAGGTCGTGTGCTCGATCCATTTCATAGTTCTTTAACTCCAAAGATTGTTGAGAGTTTGATTTGTACCAAAGATTGGCTAAAGAGCTATTCATCCACCGTTAAAATGGAAGAAAAACTAGAAGATATGGAAGAGATGGATAAAGGTATGTTTGTAACATATTGTCAAATTCTATTTATATGATCTCTTTGTCTTTTTTAAACATCTTGCACCTCTCTATTTTTCTAGTGTTCGTGGATGATAGTGCAAGTTCGGGTGTTGGAGAGTCATCTGTTTTGCTTCATGGATGATAATGGCTATGCAGTGGTTGAAGTGGGCAGTGGTTGTGCTATGGTAGCAATGGTAGCAGTGGACTGGTAGCAATGACAGTTATTGTGTCATTAGGCATTGGGCAGGGGCAGCTTTCCTTAATTCTGTTTGTGTTAAATGATTATTTGTATTTGTATTCTGTTTAAATTGCAGAGTTTAAATTAAAGTGTCAACAGTTTGTATTTTGTTTAAATTATAGTAGCAGCAATTTGTGTTTTGTTTAAATAACACTGGCAGCAGTGGGCAATGGCAGCCCCTTGCGCCATTGTGCAAGGATTATGTTTATTTATGTTAAATTATTGTGCAAGGATTCTAGTTATAGTTGCATTATTTCTTCATTGAGTTCTTAATATTATGATTTTAATGTTAAAAACTTGATTGAAATAATCCAAAATAAGCCCGTAAAGTAATTCAAAATTAACCCGAATTCAACCTGAGCTCGCCCGAATTAAACTTGGGCAGTGCTCGGGTTGAGTTTTCCAACCCGAGATAGGGTTAGGGTTGAAAATTTTATACCTAGGATTGGGCTAAGGTTGATTGTCCAACCCACCCAAGTTGCATCCCTAGTGAGGACACCGTTAGTCGAAATCACGTGGCAGGAGTCCCTGATTTATTAAATGAACAATGTTACATGAACTTAAAAAATAGACTTGATAATCTCAACCATTAATTTTACTATGAATTCCAACATTTTTTAAGGTCTATTATCTATTCAATAGTTGATATTATTAAATTTAATTTTTAAATATATCTAATATCACTCTTATTAAATACGTGTCGCAATCTTTGAACGGCTCAGTTAAGGGAGGGGACCATGAACCAGGTGAATCCCCTCTCTCTCTGTCTCTCGCAAACTCCAACGTGGCGACAAATTTGAAAGTCTCTCGTAAAGAGACAAATTCATCTTCCCAAAAAGCAATCCCCATCCTTTTTACCAAATTACACATATACCCCCCTCCCTTCAAACGAGTTCCAACTAGCGTCTCACCCGTGTTGTTGTACGGGGTTTTATATTTTATATTTTTATTTTTTCATAGTTTTATTTTATAAGAATATAAAAATTTTTAAAACTGAGTTTTAATTAAGTAGTGGTTTATTAAGATAGAATTTATGTATAGATATTTAGGATATTTAGTAGAATATAATTGAATAAATTTTTTTACTTGTATTTAAATAAGAATAATACTATTTAGATCGTAACTTTAATAGAATTATTAGATCAACACTAAATTTTAATATTTGATAGAGTTCACAATCAATTTAAATGTCATGATAAATTAGATTAATGAATTAAGTCAATAAATTAAATATTATTAACGTTGTTCTTTAAATAATTTAAAATTTAATAAATTACAAAGCAAAAAATAGAATGTTTCTAAAGCCAACTCATCAAAACATAATTTGTTGTATAATAGTACAGATAGATTTTTGATAAACGCGATCACCATGGAAATTATCTTCTTGTAGTTGAACCGATAAAAAAGTTAGTTACTTTATATTACCACTGGAAATTATCTTGTTTACAGTTAAATGGATAAGGGAAAAAAAAAAGTTCAATGGATAAAAAAAGTTAGTTATTTACACACCCAAAAACAAGAAGTTGCAGACATATTTTAAAATTCATAGGAAAAATAGAGATAATCATTTTTTAACATACATTTGTGCATCTCTTCAAAAATTTATATACAGTAATTTTTTTTTTTGAAGCTAGATTCTATAATTGAATTTGATATTATAATTTTTTTTGGTATTTAAGTTGCCAGATCGAAGTAAAATTAGTGGTAAATCCCAGGGGAAAAGTGTAATTACCATTAATAAAGTAAATATGAGCTTGACAGATTGAGTTATTTGTGCTAAGATGAGCCCTATGATTGCAACAATATTAAGGGGTATTTTAGTAACTTCATTTACTGATCGGGCATTGTGGTAACTAAACAAAAGCGAAGTTGCAGAGAAAATAAGAAAGAGAGAAGAAAGCGTAGAGTTGAAAGGGAAGATGTGCTTGGGAGGAGAGAGAAAGAGAACCTTATCCATTTGAAGCTTTATAAAAGCACAGATCAAAACCTAAATGTAAAGGACCAAGACTGTAAGGCAATTTGGAGAGAGAAAGAGAGAGAGGAAGGGTGAGAGTGAACACACGCAGACGTGAACAGTTAAGTATTTTCATTGGATCGTTGAATTTCTCAGCCATCGATGGCGGCTTCAAAGGGCTACTTTGCGAGAACAAACTACCGATTCCTCTCGAACGACAGAGACGCTCAGGACTCGACGGTGTTCGAGCTAGACGAGTCGGATGTGTGGAACACGACTTGTTCCGCGTCGCCGGAGATCCGAAAACCGGCGCCGAGTGCTAGGCTCTCAAAGAAAGCATCGGCAAAGAGAGTTGACTCGGTTGACCGGCCAGTTGTCGGTGCGAATCCGTCGTCGTTGCCGGTCAACATACCGGACTGGTCGAAGATACTGAAGGAGGACTGCAGAGAAAATCGGAGGAGAGAGAGTGACGATGATTTAGATGATGAGGACGGAGGGAATCGGATTCCGCCGCACGAGATTTTGGCGAGGCAATTTGCGAGGACGAGGATTGCTTCATTCTCGGTGCACGAAGGGATTGGGAGGACTCTCAAAGGGAGGGATTTGAGTAGGGTCAGAAATGCAATTTGGGAGAAAACTGGATTCGAAGATTAACCAGAACAGTGAGGAAATTTTACATTATTAATATTACTGATCTACAGTCATTTTTTTTTTTTTTTTGGATATTTCAAATTTTCCCTGTATTATTTGCTTCTCTAAGTTTATTTATCTCTTTTTCTAATCGTCACTTCTTGTGACGAAGCGGATTATTAGTGCGTGTAATTCCAACTTTTGAGATGAAGAGGAAATCTGAAAATGTCGATTTTATTTTTCTATTCATTATTGTTATGTTATGATAGTTGAAAAGAGTTTGTTGTAAAATCGTGGGTATTTAGGATGTAGGGTTTAATGGGTTATTTTCTCGAGAATTTGAATTTTTTAGGAGGTTTTTTTTATTTTTTGGGATAGCACTAGCTACCAAAAAAAATTTGATCATGTATTGAAAATTATTGTTTTTAAATATAAAATTATATTTTTTGAAAAAATAAAATTATATTTTTTGAAAAAATAAAATTATAATTAATTATAATTATCAATCACTTATCAGTTTTCCGAGTGTAATATGGATAGACAGGTAGATTTTCTACCCAAGCATTGGTTTTGAATGCATGAACCCTATTCCTGTGCTGTACAAGAGGGGACCATGACTTTATTAGCATTAACCCTATCTAGTGGCATGCTTCCTGGTGGTTTCCGGGCATTTTCACCTGCATTGCATTGCATTGCACACCGTTTTACAGCAATGATCTACCTAAGGTGGTTCGGGGAAGTAACAACCTTGATATTTTGTAATTAAATTGTCCATTTAATTTAGAGATATAATAATTGTAATTATTTAATTGATAATAAACTAATGACTAATTTAATCATCACCATACACTAGGTTTCTAAATTAAATGCCAATAGAATAGCTCGAGAAAGTATGGATCTTTAGGAGAGGTAACGGAGGAGGAGTATTATCACAGTTTGATAAAGATTTAATGCAAAAGATGTATTATCAAAGTTATTATTTTTGTATTGAATATTTTTTTCGTGTTGTAAATTTATCCAAGAATAGATAGACAAATACGGAAGTAGAATGGGATTGGTATAAATTAGATGTGGAAGAACAACAACTATAGGTGAGAGGGAGAAAAGAAAAAGTCATAGAGAGAGACATTTATGGGTGATTTAGTGATTAAGACTGATTTTTATAATCTAGAGGTCCGAATTTCACACTTACCATACCCCGTAAGGACTAGCTACATTTGTCTTACAAGGTACATGTTTTAAATCCATTCGAATTATGATAGATATGTCCCCCACTCATGTTACGATAATTAGTATCAGAGTTTGAGGAAATAGTCCGTACAAACTTAAAAATGAGAGAGAGAGAGAGAGAGAGAATTTTTACTGAAAAGTTACTGGGAAGTGTATTTAAACTTTAGGTAACTATTAACTTGGTGCTTAATAAAGAGAGTGGACATCAAATTCATGGCTAACTGCAAAATATTACTAACTATATAAATGCTTCCACATTAAATTCATGGATCTGTTGTTATACAAATCTGGTGTAGATTGCTTTCCAACTCCCACTATCTTAATGATATTTGTTTAGTTGGAGATCACGTATCAATGTAAGCATTGGATAATCCTCCTCAATAATAGAGATTGGTTGGATAAAATAAAAGGCCTATTGTCTAATCCGGTATTTGATGCCAATCATACGGAAAATTCATGTTAAAAAACTATTATTTTGAGATAGAACAGTGCTATTATTGAAACTTAATTTATTAANAAAACCTGATGAAGTGCAATGCAACCATTGCAAAAAGAAGTTTCATTATGCTAGTTCACAAGGAACTAGTACAATTCGGCGACACTTATTCAAGTGTTTGAAATGTGAAAAGAATAAAGATGCTACTCAAAAATTGATTAAATTTTCATCTGCTAGTGGTCCTTCTAGTAATATTAGTAGTTGAAAATTTGAACAAGAATCTGTCCGAAANTCATGGGTCTAGACTCCTTCAGAGACCATTTTTCTTGATAGTAGATAACTTGTTCTTGATTCAAATGAGACTCAATAAACAGCATATTATCTTTCAATGAGATAAATTAAAAGGAATATATTATTTAAAATCCAATCTATATTAATAAAACAGTTCCTCGGTTATCAAAAGCACGACAATGACTCATANTTCTATTTAACCAATACCTAAACAAATATAAATATGAATTGAATTGAATTGAATTGACCAATATATAAATTAGTCGTTCACGTGACAAATATATGGTGATAATAATAATAATAAATTTATGAGTCTCACCAACTTACTTGTTATTTACAAAATATAGGTAAGAATAAAATTCATCTATATATCTCATGTACTAAAAAATTGAAGTCTGAGTTTGAAATTTTTTGATAACATCAATCGAATCATTCCTTAAAAACCATCCAAACATGCTACAAAGTGTGTCATCTCAGCCATTATAGCTCAAAAAATAATATTCTTTTGTTAGGGGTAAAGCAAACCCCATTTTAAATTTACAATGTGCCAAAAAAATAATAATAATTTACTTTTGTAGGAAAATGACTGGACAAAAATTGCAGACTTTTTGTAGTAAAAAGTGGGGGACAGTGTTGTCATTTTCTCATTATTCCAAGCCACGAACAAACGAGAAGAACTGAAAATAAATCATTTTCTCCAAAAGGCAGCAAGTGCCGGTCTACATGGAAAAGCTAAAGTGTATAAAGATCAACGGTTCTTTTATGGAAATTGAGAGATTGTGGCCCGTCCGATTTGATGTTGATGGGGTCAATGATGGAGATGGTTAGTTGACCGTATCTATCTATCAGTAAAGGATTTGGCGTTATGTATGGGCGGTAATGTTACTCTGATTAAATTTTTAAATTAAATTTGAAGTTTAAATCACATAACAGTTAATTTAGATTTTTTTGATTGGTGTTATGTCATTTGGGTTCCAATAAAAATTTTAAATAATTAACTCTCATTTAGATTCTAAATTTGATCCTAAAATTTAATCAAAATAACATNTATGTCATTTGGGTTCCAATAAAAATTTTAAATAATCAACTGTCATGTTATTTAGATTCTAAATTTGATCTTAAAATTTAATCAGAATAACGTTAATCTATCAGTTCGCCCGTCGTTTTCGTTGGCCACCTGTCCCTTTCGGGCTTCATGGCGACATTGGAATAGGATACAGTGGGAGCACCGACACTAATGATGTCACTTTTTTATTAATAATATTATTTAAATATAATTTATTGAAAAAGGATATGGAGCACTTATTTTGTTATAGCCAACGTAAAAGTTTTAAGAATTCATATATGGTATTACTTTATTATGTTGATTAAATTTTTAATTAAATTTTTTATTGAGCATATTATTATTTGATATTATTATTTTTTTTGTTGAGGATTATATATATATACAAACACACACACAAACAAAATTCTCAAGTTAAGAGTAATTATATTTGAAAATTAGTTATTATTTGTATTTGAAGGTACATAGTAATAAAAAATGGTAAATAATAAACATATTTGTATTCATATCTAAAATTAAATCACAAACATAAAGGAGAGATAAATGAATTTAAACATCGATTATTATGAGGATGAGAGGTGGTGGCGGCAACAGTGGTAGCTGTGGTGAGTGGCAATGACTGTGACGGCGGCGACGATGGCGATGGCGATGGCGACAACAACTGCGGCGACGCCGATGATGATGGTGACAACGACGATAGTGGTGGTGGTGGGGTGACTGTGGCAATGACAATGGTGGTGGCGATAGCAGTGGCGGGTGATGATTGAGGTAGTGGTGGTGGGAGTAGAGGTAATGGTGGGGCGGTTTCAAACACTATTTTGTTTTAAAAGTATTTATAAGAAATAATTCTTAAAAGTATTTTTAAAAAGTTATTTCAAACATACCCTTAAGGGCCTTTTTTTTTCTTATTAAATTTAGGTTGTTAATATTAACCGTTAAATTAAATTTAAATAAAATTTAAAGCGATCTGAATTGCGAAAAACAAAAATTATTTTATTTATCTTTTGAAATTTGAATTGTAAGTTACTTTATTATATAGATATTGAAACTAATAATAATAAACAATATTTATGATAAGGGTAATTAGGTAATGCAAAAAAAATTGAAATGTGTATTTGCTGATAATAATTAGATGAAAATGTGAATTTAATGGAATATAAGTCTAACTCTGATACTAAAAGAAATAAGTTCTAAAAAAGATAGGCACCCGTTTGTTTGTAGCTTAATAGACCTTTAGGCTTTATCCATTGTACTCTGCCCAGTGGCCCCCAATTCTCTCTCACTAATTGTCACTCAAGGCCAGTAAAAATTTATGGACCAACTCAATACTAAACACAAACTGNATCCATTGTACTCTGCCCAGTGGCCCCCAATTCTCTCTCACTAATTGTCACTCAAGTCCAGTAAAAATTTATGGACCAACTCAATACTAAACCCAAACAGTCTCGGCCCAATAAAAATAAAGCCCATAGCGCAGCCCATAGGCCTATATTTCATGTACCCTTTCGCGCGTTACCCACTCGAAGCCGAGCCACCTACTGGAAGGAGTACCACTGGTTTGGTAGAACTCAGCTTCCCCAAACGGCCAAACACTCTCTCTCTCTCTCTCTCTCACACACACACACACACAGTCCGACGAACTACCTCTGCTTGATAAACAGATTGTGATTTTGTGGCGCAATATACCTGAATGTCATTCTGGTTTTGTTGTTTGGAAGAATTAATTGTCAGTTCATATTGTAGTGTTGCGAATGTATCAAGTTTTAGGTGTAATCGTGTCTGATTTATTCATGCTTCATGGTGTTTGAACTTTTTACTTGTCATTTTAAGTCAATCCAACAATAAGAGCAGGAAGACAAGGCTCTACTCCGTTTGTGGACTGATGGGATATTTCTGGAAGGAGACAAATTGGCGACACAAGTCCTCGGCATCTTTACGTTCCCAGTCAGGTATGGCCATGTGTCCTCGACATCACTCATCCCCTTCTGCCGAGGTGACAATGCTTGGAGCCGAAGGACCCCCCAATCGACGTGATTGACACATATATCCTCGGCTCGGTGTAAACCCTTTACCCCGAAGTAGGCAAATATTCCTCGGTGTCGAGGTATTCCTTCAACACGCTGGATCCCACCTTTCCTCTACTTCTATAAAAGCTAATGATTGAAAGATAACTAGCCTAGGCCAGGCTAGGCTAGCCATCATGAAGACGCT